CGACAATAACAATAGCAATAATAAAAGTCTATATGACTGACACTGACATTGAGTACGAACAGGAGAATATATAGCACTATAGGTATTATACACACACACACATAGATATATATATATACATATGTGTATTTGCACATCTCACACAACCCTTTGTCTCCCCCTCTCTCACCCGCCCTACCTCGCGCGCTCACCTTTTCTCGCGCCACACGTTTTGGTAAACAAATAAATTATTATAATAACAAAAATAATAAATAGAAATTGCATCAGTAAATGGACTTTACTAAAATTTAATTTTTTAAATTTAATACTAATTTTATTTTAATTTTTTTTTTTAATTTTTCAAATGTAATTTATATTATTTTTTAATTTATTCACATTTTGTTATGCAAGGCTAAGCAACAAAGTTGCATATTACGTATACGCAGTGGAGCAAATCTATTTCAAGAACTTGGGCAATTCGTTATCTGGTCTAAAACTATGCGACGCAATTTTATGGCAAACAAATAAATAAAAAATACATATATATATATATATATATATATATATATATATACATAGTTTTTTATCTATGATAAATAGAGCTGGAAGTCTTTATTTACATGAAATTATTATTAGTAAGATACCCTGTAAAAGCTTTTTCTGGCATATTTATAATTAGTTAATATTATTATCACATCATATTTAGGAAATTATGTTTTAGACTCATTAACGAAGTAAAGGCATAGACTCCCTTGTTTTTTACAATTACCCTATAAAAGTCTGTTCGTCCGTTGAAGTAAATATAGTGTATATACGCCCTTTAGGGGGCGTGGCAAAACGGGTTTAGTCCCTAGTTGTAGACCTCTTCTTTCCAAGTATAACATATCCAGGCCAGCATTCTAACATTTTCGGCCTTCTCTGTTAAGTACTTAACATGCTCTGTTAACAGCTTATAAAGCAACTCTGTTAGCTAGGCCTGCCGCACTAAAGATACCCTCTGTTTTGTTTTTTTTGCCCAAGCTGCTCTTGGAGAACTTAATAAATATTGTGCAATTCCACGAGTTCTGTGTTTTCTGTTTGTTTTTTTAGAGGGAGAGAGAGAGACAGAGAGATATTTCGCACGTGGTTATTGGCGCATTATATGCAATAACATAATGAACGCTGTTTGCGCAGATAAGATTAGATTAGATTGGACTCGAGCTGCTATTAGCGAAAGAGTCTTCGCCCCTTTGAAGGTAAATCAGAGCGAAAAGCAATCCCACACAGTCATTGATCTTGAATATGGAAAACCAATTAAGAACTTTGTGGTTTTTTCATTGTTATCGCTTTGGTCAACACGCGCGTCTATTGGGTGCCCATTATCAAAGACAATCGATGTAAAAACCAAAGCCCGTTGAGGTACCAAATGACGCCAATGCAGTGTGATTCATAGCTTGACGCTGGTGCAATATATTAGCAACTGTTTTCTAATTTACTTTCCCCAGTTCTGGGAAACGCCACAATATCAGAGATTGGGTCTGGCATTAGTGTGATATCCCTGTCAAGGCCTTGGTATGCCGCCCGGAAATATACTAAAAGCCATACAAGAAATTTAGTTCTAATTCTATTCACTAGAAAAGTCAATTTCGATATTATCTATTGGGTATTCACACAGGCGGACAATGACAATGACAATGACAATGACAATGGCAATGACAATGACAATGACAATGACAATGACAATGATAATGACAATGACAATGACAATGACAATGGCAATGACAATGACAATGGCAATGACAATGACAATGACAATGACAATGACAATGACAATGACAATGACAATGACAATGACAATGACAATGACAATGACAATGACAATGACAATGACAATGACAATGACAATGACAATGACAATGACAATGACAATGACAATGACAATGACAATGACAATGACAATGACAATGACAATGACAATGACAATGACAATGACAATGACAATGACAATGACAATGACAATGACAATGACAATGACAATGACAATGACAATGACAATGACAATGACAATGACAATGACAATGACAATGACAATGACAATGACAATGACAATGACAATGACAATGACAATGACAATGACAATGACAATGACAATGACAATGACAATGACAATGACAATGACAATGACAATGACAATGACAATGACAATGACAATGACAATGACAATGACAATGACAATGACAATGACAATGACAATGACAATGACAATGACAATGACAATGACAATGACAATGACAATGACAATTTCAGTATTCTGTATTCTGTATTTATTTGTCAGTCAAGCGAGTTCTATTTCCTAAGACTCCATTGCAAAATGTTGCAATGAGTGTTGCCTCTGTGCCCATTCAACCTGTGTGTCTAATGATTCAACCAGCTGGCAAGCGACCAGACGCAGACTCACATTAACTGTCCCATGCAGCACGGCAACAACCTACACAAATGCACACTTGCACAGCGCGTAAGAGAGAGAGAGAGAGAGAGAGAGACATGCAACAAACTCTTGAGTATCCGGCACGTTGCTTGCGCCCTCTGCATGTGCAGCATGTGTCGAAAACTGTGGCACGACCTCACTTAGTCAACTGTTGAAAACCGTTGCACGCCCGCCACACGTATCTGCTGCTGCGACTGCGACTGCTGCTGCTGCTGCTGCTGCTGCTGCTGCTGCTGCCGCTGCTGTTGTTCTTTTTGTTTCTGTTCTGGCATTGCCCTTTGCAAGCGACAACGTTGCAGACATTTTGGGTTTGAGTTGTATTTTTTTTTCGTTCTTCTTCTTTTTTAAATATATTTTTTGGCTCGCTGCTGTTTGTGTTGGTGCTGGTCGTTGCCAAAAAGGGATGAAGCTTGAATTTATTGCAACGTTCAAAAAACGTACGCCCCACGCAGTAGCAGCAGCAGCTGCGTCGGCTGCAACGCGAGCAGCGGAAACGCTTTGACGCTGGCTGCGCGCTGCATTTATTGAAATTTCTTTAACATTTTCGCCGAATTTCGAACAACTTCTTATTTATGCATAATAATTTTAAATTTTTGCTTTGCTGTTGTACTATAAATGTTGTCCGACAAAAGAATTATGGGGTCAATGCACTGCTTGAATGAAAAAGAAAAAAGGGGAAGGGGAAAACGATAGAGCGAGAGATATGCAGAAGTATAAGAGGTGTGCAGTGGGCGGGGGCGAAGGCATAATGCTACAGCAGACATTGGCTATAACATTTTGGAGGGGAGGGCATTGACTTGATTAAGATATTGCATTGTTCTTCTCCATGCGCTAGGGGAATGCGACAAGTTATGAAAGCAATGTTTTATTACAAAAATAAATTTAATTGTTTATCGCTTGTTTAATGCGAAACTCAGGTAAATAGCGCTACAAAGTTCGTGTTTTATATGGCCTATGTCAATTTTATTGCGATTTGCACTTTGTATCAGATGAGCTTTAATCTTTAGTTATCTACGATGTTGACGAAAGCATTGTAAATATTTCGATTCATGCTAACAAATCACAAATTGAGCCCATACACACGCATACACTCACATATACACGCATACATATGTACTACAGTATATGCAGAAGCATACGTCACAAGCAGCAGCAAAAAAGCTGCGAAAATACGGTGAAAAAACAACTGACCAAATACATGAAGAAGAGAGAAAAACAACAACAACAACCGCTACAGCAACGGCGATAAGAACCGAAAGCAAATCACCACCACCACCAACAACAACAGTAGCGGTGGTAGCAACAACAACAATGCAAATTGAACAGCCGTACGAATTATATTCGTAAGCGTAGATATCATAATAAAAATTTTATTGAGTAAGTTGAGCGCGTTTGTCGTCGGAACGCGTCGCTGTCGACGCTAACGCCAACACAACAAAAGCAATTGCCGAAAATAACAGCAGCAGCAGCAGCACGCCATTGCGGCTGCAAAAAAAACAGCCTCAGCTTTTGAATGTACATTGTCTACATGCGTTAGAGGCAGCGGCAGCAGCAGCTGCTGTCTCAAATGCCGGCTTACGCACGCAGGCACAGCCACACCAACACACACATACTCACACTTGCAAACGCAGCGCTTTCATTCTTCAGTTGACGCTGCCACTGCCACTGCCGCAGTCGCAGTCGCTGCTGCCATTCAATACTAGCGTCACAGCTGCGCTGCCACAGCTGCGTCGCTGCCCGCTGCTCGCTGCTAGCGGCGCTGCCAGCGTGTTCTCGGCAAATTTTGAGCGCTGGCCGCCATTTCGTATTTCTCAGCGAGCTGGCGACGCGTCAACACGGCAAACGGCAGCGTTTTCTGTTCTTTAAAGAACTTTCAATAGTATTAGAAAGCTTTTGACAAAGCAAAAAGCTGCTGTTTAAATAGTCCAACAGAACAACAACAACAAAAACGAATAATATAATAATCAACGTTATTTGATCTCCTTTGCCTTATTGTTTAGTTTTAATAATTAAAACTAAAACTTAGCAAATCCTTTTAGTGTTTTCTTTAACAACAACAACAACAAAAAGTGCAATTCTTAAATCAATTTGTGTTTTTTACGTATGAACGGTAAATTGTTTGTTTAACAAAAGACTGATAACGAATATATAAATTTATATAAATATTAAATATATGTAGATTAATCAATGCAAAAAGTGTATCAAGAATATTGCTTATAATATAACCTAGCGAAAAAACCAATTAAATTCTTACAACAACTGAGTGAAGTATAAGAATCAGAAATACTAAAGTTTGCGTGTGTATGTATATGTGTAGGCATATATAGTATATGTATAACCTAGGTCAATATTGTTTATAGTGGCGTGTGAATGTGCGCAACAGCAAAACGCTAATAGCAGAGCAGCAAAAACAACAACAGCAGCAATCATAGTGCTGGGCAGCTACAAATACCCATGCAAATGCTTAAAAACAGCAAAGATTATAAATAACACACACACCCATGCATATGTATGTGTGAGCGTTTGATACGGAAATTCGCCACAGCAGCAACAACAACAACAACGAGCGCAAATTAAACTTGAAAATATATATGAAAATAAATAAAGAAAACAAATTAGACGTTAGCAGCAAAACGTCGCCAAAGCTAAGGCAGCGTCACACCCACACACACACTCACACGAATATACGGTTCGCTTGCTCGCGCTCGCGCTCTCGCTCTCGCTCACACAACGATTAAGAACAGTCAACCTTTGGCTGCGTCAACTGCGCTGCTGCTCAGCTCAGCTGCCTGCTGCTGCTGCTCAATTCTTATACAGTTTTTAATATCAGACAGCGACGATCGTTGCGTTCGCTCAGTCAGCGCTGTTGCCTCGCGTAACTTAGTTCTGATTCTAACGGACGTACGCATACACACACACGTTCACGCTCAAAACAGAATTTGGTAATTTGCCGAGCGACAAGTGCAGACTTGTTATGCGCCTTTAAAGCAGCAGCAAAAGTAAGAGAGTGAGAGAGAGGCAACGCTTTCGATTAACGTTCCGCGGCGATTATTTTGTTCATGCCTCGCCTTGAGTGCGCAACAGTGAAAAAGTTCTACAAAACACTTGCCGCCCGTCAACTCGCGCGACAACAAGTGTTTTTAACAAAATCAAAAATAAATAGCAACAGCAAAATAACAGTACACTCTTCGTGCAAATATATCTCAATAAAACGATCTCCGATCAAGCGACAATTTTGATTTGCACTTTTGGGAATAATTTCGGCAGCCGCAAGGAATATACTGTCAATATTTTATGGTGGATTTTCTTTTAATATATGGTAAGTTCTATTAGAAAAAAAAAATTATTTTATTAAATAAAATACATATATATAAATATGAAAAAACACAAATATAAATTATAAAAAATTAATAACTAAATAAAGAAAGATAATAATTTATTTATTAGATTATTTTGTTGTTATATTAAAGAAAATATTAATTTTATATAAAATAATATTTAAGTCACGTATACTCAATATATATATTATATAGTTTGATGAGCAACCCAAAATTTCACAATATTAGAACATTTCTAGTATGACGCTTCTAGAAATATATAATCTATATGTTTATAATACGTATTCCACTTATAAACACGAAATCCTAACTAAATTTAAATAGTATTCAAGCTGAAATTGCGCATACGCCCCATGATATGCAAAAATTAATGTCAGTTTCATCATGATGTTAAATTTATCTGTTAATGATTAGATTCATAGACTTATAGTAAAAAACTGACTACCACTGACTCCCACCCATCAAATAGCCTATCTCAACTAGATTCCTGATGACTCAACCCTGGGGGGCCCTTGAGTCACCTATATCATCCCAGTCCAATGGGTCTTATAGACTTATTTCAAATGGTTTTTGATAATGATCAATCGTGTTGCCCCCAATCTATAGCAAAGGGGTTTCCTAAAACAATGTGACTCATGAACTGCACTGGCATGAGTCACCCACACTCTGGGAATACATAATAAAGAAGGATCACACGATACTTTATGTTCGCTAATTACTGATAATGCCATAGATACAGTTTGTCAGTAGCCGCAAAAGCTTATTTACTATCAATATGAGTTGGTCAGTGCCGAAACATAGACAGAACTGAACATAGATAGATAGACTGTCCGAATGAAGATTCTAGGAAGAACTTTTTCTGAGATTTATTCGTACTTGAGATAATTGCAAAAGATTTAAAACTCAATTCAAATATATTTGAAAAATTCTATTTTTATATATATATAATATATGCTTATAAATATATCAACTCAAGTCTTCAACTTGTTCTAATCTAGTGAATTATCTTGTCTTTCACTGTTCAAGAATTTTTTAGATTTTGAAAAGTTTTATAAAAAATGTTCAAATATAATATAAATATTTGGCTTAACATTTATATTTAAAATTGAATTAGGTATTTGTTTTGAATTCTTTAAAATTCTTCAAAATTATTTTATTTGTTTTTCAGTAAATTCTCTAATATTTCAAAAACAGTTGCTAAACTCAGAAAATTTTTAGAAAACAAAAATAAATAATAAATAATAAAATTAAAATAAATAATATAATTTAAAAAAGAAATATTCTTAAGAATTAAATTTTTTGATAATTATTTTCATTTAAAAAAAATTTTTCAGCATTTCAATTCTCAAACATTTTTGAAAACTTAATTTTTTTTTTAATTTACAGATAGCAATTGTATTTAACAAATGTAGCCAAATATTTATACCAAAAATTGATTTAAACAAGTAAGAAAGCTCTAGTCGGGGTGCCCGACTAGGAGATACCCTGATCCCAGTCCTTTGAGTTTTGTAATATTTTCCGTAGTTTGTATCGAGTATTAAAAAAAAAAGAAAACAAATAAAAATCGACATTGCGAGACCAGGATTCGAACCCGGATTATTTGCGCAACGTGCACAAACTCTACCAACACCGCCACTTCATAACTAAAAAAAAAAAATAAATAAATAATATAAAACAATAAAAAACATTTCATCTCCTCTGGTCTCGAACCCGGACCAAGCTGCATCCGAGAGGTGCCTCTACCAACGCAGCCACTGCCCTTCTTACGCGAGCTGTTGCAAATTTGAACATAAGTAGCAGCTAATAATTCAGCACAATTCAATCGCAATTTCAATTCTTGGAATAGAAAAGTATACACGCATTTGAATGTATGTGTGCACACGCATAGGAAAAATGCGTGCGCGTGGCGCTGCTGACATGTGCTTTTGCAAATTGGCCAAACGTTTTGTTTAATAACTTCTGTTTTACTTAATGGATTTTAATGAAATTTTCAGCATATGATCTACATATCCTATTGGCTTGGTTGAGATGCAAACGCCTTCACATAATGGCCCTAGTTCCAACTAAACTTAAATTCTAAGAATTTGGGGGAATTTGGAGCCGGTATCCAAAATCCAACAAAAATCAAAATTGCATAAAATATACATAACACTAAATACAAAATTTGGAGGCTCTAGCTCTTAAGACGTTCGAGATATAATTTATTTACTGCATTTCAATAATGTTTTTATTCGATAACAATTAAATGCGAATAGTTATCGAATATTTGAAACAAACTTGACCTGCGCGTGCTATACACGGACCTACAAAAAAAATTTCAAGTCTCTAGCTCTTATAGATGCTGAGATCCACGCGTTCACACATACGGACAGACGGACAGACGGACAGACGGACAGACGGACAGACGGACAGACGGACAGACAGACAGACGGACAGGGCTCAATCGACTCGGCTTGTCGTCCTGATCAAGAATATATATACTTTATGGGGTCTGCCACGCCTCCTTCTGCCTGTTACATACATTTGCACAAAACCATTATACCCTGATTTCCCATTTTTAATGGGATCAGGGTATAAAAATCACTTATATTTGAAGATTAATCAACAGCTTTATTTGCCGTTATAAATTTACTTTGATAAACGTTATGTAATTATATTTTCAATCAATCTTTGCCCAAAATTATACAGACAATAAAAGAGTTATTGTTCACTCCGAGAAGCTTTCTAAATTCTAATTCCTATAATTTTTTTTGCTAAAGTATTTTCGTATTTTATCTATTTGCTAATTTTGTGCCTGAAGGTCAGTAATAGCGTCAACAACAATTCCAAATAGCAAACTAATCTTGGAAATTGATATTTGGGGTATTTATGTTCACAGGAAATTGTACTGATGCGGCGCAAACAGCAAACAGCGTCTAACTGTTAAGTTATAAAAAAAATAAAAGCGCGACTAAAGTACTGAATGTAGCTGTTGCTGTTATCGTGTTATCGCTATCGGAAAAGAACCGATTTGACAGTTGATTTACGTAGGTGTTGGGGCCGCTTTCAACTTTTCAACTTTGCTCCGCTGTGCTAGCTGCGTTCATTCACGTTCCACCACACACCTGTTGTTATCAGCGACTATGGCCAGCTTTTGCTTATCGATGCGCTATTTGAATGTATCTTCATGCGTCTGCTTAGCTGCTTTTTATGAATGGCAGCGAATCGTCGTGCTCATAAAGCCACAATTGATTGAGCGATTACGAAGCGTAAGAGTAGGGAAGAGAAAGAGAGAGCAGGAGAGCGGGAGAGGTAGACGGAGAAAGAGAGATTGAAAAAGAATTTTTAATTTTAATCAGATTACTTCAAATTTACTTCCCTGTTTGATTTTGTATAATGTATATGTTTGTATATAAGAATTTATAAATTTCACTCAAGTGAGATATGAAATGAAATATATTTCCTATATATATACATGATATTTCACTGCTCAGTGAAGTGAATTTGGGCATTATGGAAATGTCATATATGTACATGCATAATATGTATAAAATACAGTCTAAAACTCATTTCCTTTTAACAACTTTAATCGCAATGTCTCTCAACAAATTCATGTGAATCCCGAATCGTATTTCATTTAAATTTCTGGAAACACAATTTGCTATCATTACCATTATCATACCATAGTTGGGCGCCCCCGACTAGAGCACTTGTCTTCTCTATAAACAGCAATTCTAAGTAGCTTTGAGATATCGCCAAAATGAATAAGAAGAACAATAAATAAAATCTATTGATTCTCACATTATGAGGAAATTTCTTAAGCACACGCAGCAAGAAGAAGAGGGACAGAAGAGGTAAGACGCTGGCTTCTCAAGTGCCAAGCCAACAAAATGTTCCCGCTTTTTGCCTCGTTCAGTTTGCATTGAAAGCGAAATTTTAGGGCCCAATCAAATAAATATAAATAATAAAAAAATAAATAGCATAAAAATTCCATTTCGTTGTGGCTTATCAGTCAAACAGACTTTGCGTTTTCACTGCGATCTTTTCGCAAAATTCCATTAGTTGAAGAGCTTTACAGTTAATTCATAAACTTGTTTCTTATCAAAAATGTCAAAATTGTTCGGTCACATGAATGAGAATGGGAGGAGAAACGCGAATGGGAATGGGAATCAGAAATGAGATATAATTTGTTCTTTTTCCTTTAGTTTTTGGCGAATATGGTCTTTGGCAACCCTTTGCCTACCCCATTATATTTTGTATTGCAACACGCACACAGACTCAGCTACTCAAATATTCAGTTGAGTATCTGACGGATACATTTCGGGCTAAAAAATGATTCTAATGCGAAAAGCCGGTTCGCAGACATGCGTAAAAGCTACGTTTGCTTACGTCTGCTTCTCTATGTGTGTGTGTGTGCTGCCTTATATTTGTGCTATATATACAATGAGTGTGTGTGTGTGTGTGCTGCCTTATATTTGTGCTATATATACAATGAGTGTGTGTGTGTGTGTGTGTATATGCGCACGCTACCCTCCGGCCGGCACGATCCGCCATATTTGGTATACCCTAATGCTTGGCGTATAGGGCATATTCGCTTACATACTAAACTCACTGAAAGACTATAAACATATATAGAGACTACAAATATATCGATAACAATACATATCGATTATTATAGCTAATATTGGAACATAGCTGCCACATACCTAGTTGCTTACAGGGTAGCCTCTAGTCGCCTTTAAAGCTCAATTGTAGGTTTTCATAACGTGCTTGTTAGATTGTTTGTTTTTGTTACTTTTAACGTTCTTGAAAGTTCTTTTCGCAGTATTTTTGTTTATCCATGATACTGTATAAATATAGATATATAAATATATATGTATATACATATAGATAACCGCTATTTGAAGTCAATGTTTTATTTATTTTCGCCAAATAATTTTCTATATAAAAAGTTTTTTGTTGACCTTGGTTAACAATTTTGCTCATGTATTGTCTATGTCTA